TGCACAAATTTCTGCTTCCTCTCGAGTAGCTTCTTGGGAAGATCCTACTTCCTTGTGATTTATCAGCTTTTCCTTTCCTGGGTGGAAACTGGGCGCAAATTTAGATCCAGAATGATTTTCCTCGGTGGTGATAGTTTTGGTTGGATCCCGAACGCATATTGCAGCTGTGATTGGTGAAATATTCGTTAGGCCTTCTAAGTTACCCAGAACCCCACTTGCCTTTAGGAACTCTGATAGAGGTGTTTGAGGCGTCTTCAAAGCTTGGTCTGTCCCACTAATTCTTAAACCTGCAGGCCAGTCTCGAACTGCATTCATAGAAGCCCTTTTGTTTAGATTTTCTTTCCTATCATATTGCGCCTTATATTTTTCACATGAATCCTCTGTTGAAGAAGTTTGAGGTGTCTTCTTGGCTACATCTTCCCCATACATTCTCAAACCCACAAACCAATCTTGGATTATATTCATGTTGGATTTTCTGCTTAAATTTTATTTTTCATCATTTTGCTTCTTATGTTCTTCACAGGCATTCTCTGTTGAATCGACGACGTCCAAGTTTTGGACCTTCATCCCTTTCTCTTATACCTTGCACCCTTAAATTGCTTGTTCTAAAGAATCATCAGGGTTACTAGGAACCTTAACTGAATAAACTGGGGTTCCATCCTGGTTTATCCAAGGAATCTCCTTATAGGTTCATTTCTCATTCGGGGTTCACTATGGCTGAACATATCCCAGTGTAACCAATCCGACTGTGAGCATTTTTTATTGTAGTTTTTGAAGTGAAAAATGGAAGGGAGGGAACTGAAAGCCCTGCACTTTCTTTTTCTTATCATCAAGTCCCCATGACGAGAGACTACTTGGAAATGACTTTATAGATAGAACCTGCTTGTCTTGACTGGATGATTGTAAAGGGTTAGAACCTCTAATCATGAGAGGTTAATCATTCTTGGCTTTCTTCGTCAGCATTTGGTCACCTTCTATGACCCTCTTCTTTAAATAAAGCTTATCTCTCACAAGGGAAATTTCATCCCTCATTAGCTCTTCTTTTATTGTTGGTCTAGTAGAATCTTCTACAACCAAATTTGGTTTTCGGAGCTGGCCTGAAATATCCGGCTGCTTAACAGGTCATCTGGCCTCTGTCATTTCAGTTTCAACACCAATATTCATAGTCTTATCCAAAATAGGATCCACTAGTGGCTTCTCTCCATAGATCATAACTTTTACCATGTCCATTAACTTGGTCATTTACTCTCTTGATTCTTCCTGAAATCTTCTTGCTTGATAGATCATCTCCTGTTGAGTTTTTACAAGTTGTTCTTGAATTTTCTCTATCTTACCAATACGCGCTAGTATCTCATTAATCATTTTGGATCTTTTTACAGACACGCTTCAGGTAACCTTCAGTTTGCTTTCAAAGCTTCTCTTTTAATTGCATTTTCTCTGAGTGGTGTTTGTTCCTTTTGCATGAGACATCTCTTGTTAATTGATGTGGATGTAATGAAAAAACAAAAGAAAAAAAATACGAAATATGCAGAAATGCATGATGCATGAAATGTTTGAGGCATTGTTCCAAAAATGTGTCTGTTATTGTAAATAATCTTTATTGGCGACAAAAGTTTTATTTCTTAAGAGACAAAAAACCACCAAGTCTAATAGACCCCGAATAGCTCATGACAGGTTAACTCGCCTTTTGCCTCCGCATGTCACCGGTTGAATGCCCTGTCGAACCGTTCCGGCCTATTTGAGCTGCTTTTTACACTTGTCCCAAGAAGTCTTGAATGTTTGCATCGCTAGTTTTCACTCTTTGCTGAGTCTGTTCCCTAACGGAAACACCATTGGAGCCCTCCATCGATAGGAACTATCCGAAGTTTATCTACTCGTTTCTTGAATTTGTCAACAATGGCTTCCAGTTTCATCTATCGCTTTGCCATCTTGTTCTTGTTGCCTTTGAAGGGACTCCCCAGGTCAGTAACATTTTCTCCTCTTGCCCCTGCAACTTTTGTCAACCTATTTTGAAAAAGTTGACTTTTGATGCGCTTGGTGACCATAGCCGGAATTCTGATCTTTTCATCTCTTGTATTATAACCCCTTTGTCCATTAATGCAAATTATTTACGTTTAACGAACAAATTTTTTGTGGATCAACACCTCTTTTGAATGATGCAAATGACGAAAATAAAATGAAAGAGAACAAAAATGAAAAGAGTTAATGTGGTAAGGATAATAATCAAAATAATAATGAAAATAAAAGTCCTACCCCACATGTTTATTTTTCCTACCCGGACATGATATCTATCTCGCATGTTAATCTTGAACAAGTCCTAACCGCATAAATTTCTAGTTAACATGCTTTGAATAGAAAATAAAATAAGAAATAATCTCAAAATAGCCTAGGGTTTGAAATGAGGTTTTGGGGTGGGCTCTAATTCCCTATAGCCTTCCGGTTTAGATTCTAAAAAGGTACTCGAGTTCTCCTTACTGGTGCCCCCCTTAGGCTTGCCAGACCCTTAGCCCTAAGCCCATTTCAAGCTTGTGTGGACTAAGTTAAACTCGAGAGGATACATTCCCTTTTGTTTATGCGGTGAATAAATTCACACGAAGAAATAAGATATATGAATCCCGAAGGTTACTTGCTAGGCCTGTACGGAGAATAAATTCACATGAAGGCATCGCTTTCACCCCCACTTAAAAACGGGTTTGGAGCTCAGGTATAGAGCCTTAGATGGAAAAAAGATTAAAAGGCTGAAATCATCGAAAGAAACCGTCAGTACAACTATTTATTTGAAAAAAATATCAAAAGTAAGTAATAAGGATCGAAAAGTTGCCTTAAAATTTAAATTACCCTTTTCATTAAAAAGACAACTGGAAATTACCATAGCCTGACTCACTTACCTGTTCCCAACGGAGTCGCCAAGCTGTCGAAACCGTCTTTCGGGTGGGCCCGGAATTGGGTTTCGACTTGAATGAAATAGTTTGAGTCACCACCGATCATTTATTTTAATAATAAAACGGGTTAATCAGATACCCAAATTTCTACATGATCTGCATCTTACCAGTGATATGTCAGATTCGGGAGTCGGTTACAGTCAAGGAAGGGTTAGCACCCTTAAACTGCCCTTTCGGTACTAATTAATTCACATGTGTCTTTAATTAAGAAAATTGAAAGTCTAAATTAAAAGGTAAAAATATGATCCAAATTACTTACCCCTGACGAATTCGAAAGTGTACTCTTAAAAAGTCGAGAGACGTGTCAGATAAAAAAATAAAGTAAGGTAATAAAAATAAAGAAAATAAAAAAAACAAATGAAATAAAGAAAATGAGATAAAGAAAATATAAAAAAGATAAAAATAAATAAATACATAAATAAAGATAAAGTAAAGATAAAAAAGTAAATAAAATAAATAACATAAATATAAAGAAAATAAAAGGAATAAAAATAAAAAATATAGATAAAAAATAAATAAAATAAAGAAGATAATAATAATATATATAATAAATAAATAAAAACAAGAGTAAAATAAAAATAAATATAAAGGAAATAAAAAAATAAAGTAAAGATAAAGAAAAAAATAATAGTAAAAATATATCTATATAATAAAATGTTAAAAAACAGAAACAAAAAAAATGAAAATAAAAATAAAAGATAATATATATATATATATATATTTAAATGTTAAAATAAATATAATAATAATAATATATAGTATTTAAATAAAAAGAAAAAAGAAAAAATAAATTGGCTTTTAAAAAAAGGACTAAATTGAAAGAAACGAAACGTGGAGGTCAAATTTCGAAGTAAAATCAAGATGTGAATTCAATTTGGAGTCAAAATAAATCTTTAAAAAACAATGAGGGACCGAAAGGGTAATTAACCCTTTTTACTCGAAAACACGCGAATCCCCTAGGGGATTCACTCGGGTCGTGGGTTGATGCGCGGGTCATAACCGGGTTGGGTATAAAGCCCAACAACACAAACACCCAAATCATTTCTCCCTTAGCCTCAAAATAGATCAAAGCAGCCTCAAAAAATTCTCTGAAATAATTCAAAGTGTTCTTCATTTCATGAAGAACACAACTGCACAGCCCAGAAACCGATGGGTCGCCGCCTCGCCGTCGCCGATCTGCTGTTCATTGGCGGCGACCAACCAAAAAAATCTATTTTTTAAAAGTTTTTTCCCACTCATTTCGAATATCAAATCAGTTTTTTCAAAAACACCTCGGGGGAGAGTAGATCTAGAAAAGAAACTTCGAAAATCCTCCCCCCTTTTTCATCGGTTTTTTTTGTTCGTGGGTACTTTCAAGCAAAACAAGCATATCCTAAACACATGCAAACCGACGAGAAAGGTAAAAAGCCAATACCTTTTCTATTTTCTTTTCGTTCGAAAATACAAGCCTTGGATGCTACTATTTTGATGCATACTTCCTCTAGTATTCTCGTGTATTTCGAATGTAAAAAAAATGTCCCCCCATTTCTAGTGTGGTTTACATCTTATTTATAATCACCGAATATCCTATTTTTAGTTCACTAAAGTCCTAATGAAACTAAACTCCTTGCTTGGTTGTTGCTTGTTTTTCGGTTGGCCTTGGAGTCACGTCGCCGGAAAAAATGGGGGGTGAATACCTTACGGCGCTGATGAAGTCTTGGCTAGGGTTCGAAAAACCCTAGTGCTTTGGGGGCCGGTTCGGGTCGGAACTGGTTCGGGTCCTGGTCTGGGTTTCGGGTCGCGGGTGACAACTTGGGCCAACTGGGTTACTGTTGGGCTACTATTGTAATGGTTTGGGCCGAGCACTTGTTGTAATATGGGATCTGATACTCAACATGTAATATAAATAAAATAAATATATGATAGAGACATATAATATATAACTATACAATGCATATAGATATATATTATAAATATGAACATAAAGTGGGACAAAAATGAGTGTCTATAGCACCAATACTTGTATTTCATGCATAGAAGTTTCTATTGAAGATGATTTAATAGTTTCAATGTAAAGGATTAGAAGATAAGATCATTAACCCTATGAGAATGTCTCTTCCTCAAAAGAATGACAGAAAAAGGATTACCAAGAGATGTTACTTGAAAGCCTCCCATTGAAGGTGGATGTCCCGATGTCCTACTCTGCACATCTAATAAGCGTTCCAAAGAGTTTGTTTTCTGCAAAGTCAAAAAGTCTCAAGATAACAAAATACTATTATTGTTTTAAGAAACAGGTCGGTCAACCTGAAAAAAAAAAAGATATGATAGATACAATTTATATGTAAGCACTCATATATGGTTCAGGCCTTCCAAATTTTTACCTCTAAAAGGAAACAATATCTGAAAATCAATTAATTAAGAAGGTTAGATATTCCAAAATCTATAGCACACCCAATAATATTTCCTCAAACTCTACCATGCACAACATTTGTTGCCACAAAAAACATGCATATAACAGAAAGCAGTCGATCTTGTAAATGTGAGATTGCACTGTTTACATAGCGAATGAGGCAAGCTCAAACTTAAGGACCTAAACACTACTGCATAAAACAGAGCACAGAAAGTACTGAAGTGAAAAACTCAAATGGGGAAAACTAAAATTCATTAAACAAATTCAATAGGACATGGAAGTTTTACGAAAATGTATAAAGAAACAACCAAAATTAATAACACCTATGATCAGCATACCTCCTTAAACTGGTGAAGTTGTTGTTGCAACAGGGCTTCTCTCTGTTTCCGTTCAGCTTCTTTTTTTCGCCATTCAGTTTTGTTTTTAATCAAAACAGCATTCTACAAATTTCTTTTCAAAATATAAGAAAGACAGAGTGGATTACCACAAAACAATACCAAATTGAAAGACATTATTTTTAATTCTTTTTTTAATAGAAATTTTTACCTTCTTTTCAAGAGAGATACACTTAGCTTCAAGAGATTGAATTCTCTTCATAATAAAGATACACCATTAACATTACACTTATTAAACCTTCCTTCAAAAATTTATCAATTCTCTAGAATTTTAGTAAGACCTTTTGTGATTCTCCATCAATAGCAACAATCCTAGACGCAAATAATTTCCGTACATCCTTCATTGTTCATTTCCTGTTACATTGAGGACACTTGAGAAAAGAAGAATGTCAGATAAATATACGAGCAGTCCATGCACTTGAAAATTGTGACATGGTTTGACGACGAAAAAAGAAACCTTTTTGGTAGTTCGACCTTGCTGTAACGATTTCCGGATGCACGAAAAACCAAATATATGCCCACAATGAAGACAACTACAGCCAAATAGTTAATTGGTTCTTTATTTATATATTTCAGTATATACTTTTTCAATCAATGTTAATTCCCATCAAGTTTTGTATTTTGTGGTTGCATCCTATGTTGCGCAACTTGAACCGCATCGGAGCACACCTTTGTCCTTTATGGAGGCACACCTTTAACCCACATGTTGATGATTCGAGATTGGTTGTCAACGAATCTATAATATTGATCAAGAATTCAAAAAGGTATGTGTGACCATTCAATATTTCTTGTATAATATTTATACATTGAGATTATACTACTGTTTTCGGTATTATTAAATTCCCATCGATCAACAGAAGTTAATTCTGTTTCGAGAATTAATTTATTGAGTTCTTGTCGTTTAACAGAAATTGGTTCTGTTTTGGGTTTTATTCCCGTTGTCCAATAGAAGTTGGTTTTGTTTCGGATTTTAATTTTAATCCTGACATTTAACGGATTCAACAAAATAGTGTTGATTGTACATTTATGTTTCGGGTTTTAGTTTTACTAAATTCCCGCCGTTTAATAGAAATTACTTAATTGTTGGATTTTAGTTTTAACTAAAATTTGTTGCAATAAATAAGGTGCCGAAACGAAATTATGATATGTTTGTGAAAAAAAATCGGGCCTATAATTCTGTTTCAGGATTTTAATCCTGTCAACCAACGGAATTTATTTGATTTAATATTTAAAACATAAATCATTTGAAAGTAACAACATTGTTACAAAGTTTTTATTAGAATTTTAATTTCTAATTAAATTATGTTGTTTAAACAGAATCAGAGGGTAAAATAAATTGAAATAATTTTTGATTTATTGTTAGAATTTTTACGAATTCTAATTTCATGTTTTAAACGAAACAATGGTAACCCCACTGATTCACTTAACTCGTGATTTGAAATGTTGATTTCTATTCAGACTTTGAATAAAATTAAACGATGTCAGTGGTTGTGAGCCACAACGAGAAGCATGTGAAATTCATGGATGGAATTTCAAGACATAGCGACATAAGATGTTATATTTAATCATGTTGAATATGGTAAAATATAAGATGATCCTCCTATTCATAGAGAGGATGAGATAGACATTATTGTCATTAAAGCTTGAAAGCACTCTAAGTTTCTATATCGGAATTACATCTCGAATGGATTGTCATATACACCATATGAAGTGTATAGTATCCATAAGATCGCTAAAGAATTATGAATGACATTTGGCCATGTTCTGAGTTGTCACAGAACATGTGAAGGAAGATATTTTATTAGAAAATTACCTTTAAATAAGGTAACTTACAAGAAAATAGGGGAGACACCGTATGAGTTATGGAAATGTAGAAAATTTTCCTACAACTATATCAAAGTGTGGGGTACCTTGTATAAGTATAATGGTAAGTCGAGACACATATGTCATCGACATAATATCATTAAACAATTGATCTCAACTAGAGTTATCTATATTGATTTTGTAAGATCAAAAGATAACATTGTGGATCCGCTAAACAATGAGTTGAATAGAGATCAACTTGATATACATCAAAAGGAATATGACTAAAGCCCATTAATATTTAAGGCGTTATGTGAAGGAAAACCCAACTTAGTTGACTGGAGATCCCAAAATCTAAGTTCAATGGGACAACCTACATGCATAGACCTTGTGAGGTCACTGTGGGGTTCTTATCCCTAAGTCCATTCCTATGATAAAAACAGTGACTAAAATGTGGAAAAGGTTAAGCAATGCTTTTAATGAACACTATGTGTTTCGGTGAACCGAACAACATAAGTCACCTATGTGAGAGTGAAGTGTAGCCGTGTCAAAGAGACCATTGGGGCATAGTTCTCTAAACTCTTGCAGAACCAGGAGATGTCTGCGGCTATATGGACATAACCATGATAACCAAATTCTTGTCAGTGAGATATTTGTGTGAGGTATGTCATCGCTTACACAAACGACAGGACAATTCAAGGACATCACGTCTACTGGACAGCCAGTAAAGTAAACATATTTTCACAAGGGAAGGTTCAAAGGGGGACATCTACCTATCCTATTCAAATATCGAACGTAAAATCTATCACCATATCGAGTCAGTGTTTGAAATCATCAATTTCATTCATGTGGGGGATTGTTGGAAAAATTAGTAAATAATTGAATAAAATTGATGTCTTTTAATAATAAGTTATGTCACTTGGTGAACAGACTTATTATTTGGTATACAATTGCATCAATTCAATTATACCTATTAGATTTTCAATAAACCTCTTCATCAAAAGGTCATAACCTTTTGATTAATTTCCTCTCCCCTATATATAGGTTAGTTGAGGCACAAACTTGACACAACTTTGAGAGACAACTTTGAGACACAATTCACAAAGTTGAATTAGGAAATCACTTAGATAATTCCTTTCAAATTCATTCTTTCTAGTGATAGAGAAAGGCAAGATTGCGTTCGACTGATCACTACGGTTGTGCTTATTGTTGTTATCGTTTGTTGTTGTATCCTTGGAGACCGACGTCCAACGTTACTCAAAGCACCGAGGAGAGGACAAATATGTCTTAAGGAAATTGTTCATACATGCCTCATCAAAAATCCTTCTTCGGTTTATCATACTCTACTCATCCGATTCATTGTCTAAATATGAGTAAACCAATTTCTTGCCTCTACTTTAATTTTTATTTATTTTTCTTCGTTCGATTATATAATAACATTTTTTTTATTATTATTTTTATCTCGGATTAACATTTTTTCTAACAATAACTCATGAAATTAAATCAGGTAACTCATGTAACTCCTGATATTAACAGCTTGTTTCCTTTGTACAAAGCTGGAAATCAGTCCAGATACGTCTAAAGTTAACGTTTTGATTTAAACAGTCCTCAACAACCTATAAATATTATAAATTCCACAAGAATTTTATCTAAAAAGATAGTATAGACACGTATGACCACGACCACGACCACGATCCGGACAGACGGCGGCAATGGCGATGCACGAGAGTTCCGCTTGTTCTCTTTCACTCAACAAGGAAGTGTATAATCCAAATCTTAATTACCCATTCTCAATAGTGTTTCCAATATTATGTGGAATTGAGCATTACCAACATCATCTTCTTTTTCTTCTTCGGATTGAGAATTTTGTTCTTCAGTTTCTCCATAATCTTCTTCTAATTTTGGTTCGGTTTCTTCTTCAGATTCTGAACTTACTGCAATGTATACGATAAGATTTGGCATGGGGAATGTGGATTCTGTTGAAAGATTAAAGAGTGGTTTTTTTCCCCGTTTCTTAGAGAGGATTTTGGAGGAAAAAATATACGGTAAAATAATGGGATAGACTATGTTGAAGTATAAATAAATTACATTTTACTATAATTTTAAAATGGTGTAAATATAAAATAAGTGTCCAAATTATTTTTTGATCTATTTAGATATTTAACTTATGATTGTTATCATTTTGGATAATCAGTCGGTCTGTGATGTTAATTTTTTCTATACGTTTCACAATTTGATAATTTGGTAATTTATTTTTTAAAATATTATAAATATTATTATATTTATAAAAAAAATCTTAATTTTTCTTAAATTAAAAATATACTTTTAAGTTATTTTAAAAAATAAAAATTTTAAAAATTTCTAGATTGTGACATATATCACTTAATAGATGAAATTAACATCGTTAGTGGCTTAGACACCTAAAATGGTAACATTTGTAACGTTAGACGCCTATTCGTGAAAAGAGGTCTAGTTTGGACACTTCTTTTATATTTAAAACTTTTAAAAATAAAAAAATGGTCACTAACATTAACTAGGGGTGTGCAAAAAAATATGATCTGGCCGATCTAATCCGTTGATTCGTTGATCCGATCCGAAAAATCAAATATCCAATCATTTTTTATTTTTAAATAATTCAAATCGAATATTTGAAGAAAAAACCAGATAATCGAATCAGATACAAATCAATTAAAACTTAATTTCGAATTATCTGAATATCCGATAAAAATGGACCTTTAAAATATTTTTTCTAAGTCCCAACTATTTCAGCCAACCCAACCCTAATTTAAAATACCCATTGCCCCAACTTTAGCGAGAGCTTATGCGGTGTGACGCCTAAAAAATGGCGTGACCGGTTAAAATTTAGACCGGTTATGTTATATCATTTAACCAGAAATATTATCAAGTACAATAACATATTAGGTAGCGCTTATATAATGTAATAGGTAGTGCTTATATAATAAAATAGGCAGTTAACCAGAAATATTATCAAGTACAATAACATATTAGGTAGCGCTTATATAATATAATAGGTAGCGCTTATATTGACCTATTTTATAAGTAAACCGGTATATTTATACCGGTAACATTGCAAATTTACCTATTACATTATAATTATCGGTTTCGATATTTTTGGATCGATACATTTTAAATGCATCGACACTTTATGCATGCACCTCGTTGGGCATTCATTCTGGAAAAAAATATCGACACAAACTTAAAAAGTGTCGATACATTATTTAGACCTATTTTCTTATAAAACCAGTATATTTCTATCGGGTACATTGTAAATTTACCTATCATATTGTAATTATCGGTTTTGATGTTTGTGGGATCGATACTTTTAATAAATGTATCGACACTTTATGCGTGCACCCCGTTTGGCATTCATTATGGAAAAAAAGTATCAACAAAAATTTAAATGGTGTCGATACTTTATGATGACCTATTTTCTTATAAAACCGGTATATTTATACCAGTTACATTGTAAATTTACCTATTACATTATAATCATCGGTTTCGATGTTATTGGGATCGATACTTTTAATAAATGTATCGATATTTTATATTC